AAGCCAGATGGAGGACCTTCAGGGGACGTGTAGAGAAATACCAGAGCCGTACATGGCTCCTGACGAATGCAGAGAGCCCTGTGGGGACTGTGAGTGTGTGAGGGAACGAAGGACAGGACTGCAGACTCTGAAAGGCACCTCTGGAACCAACCTGCAGTGATGCCCAAGGCCATCTTCAGAAGCCACACAAAGGTCAGGTGGTACTTTCTCCAAACTAGTTTGTATCTTTTCTTTCTTTCACCTGTCTGTCTATCTATCTATCTATCTATCTATCTATCTATCTATCTATCTATCTATCTATCTATCGTCTATCTTATCTTTCTTGAAACCGGATCTCTCTAAGAAGTTCTGACTGGCCTTGAACTCACTATGTAGACCAGGCTGACCTTGAACTCACAGAGACCAGCCTGCCTCTGCCTCCCACATATAACTTGTATCTTTTTGTTTATTCTTTTTTGCAGTCCTAGAGATCAAATCCAGGGCCTCACACGGCTGTGTAAACGCATCCTCAAACCTTTTTTCCATCTTCATGGTCATAGAAGTATCTGATGGCAGCCTTTTCCTCTCTCAGACTAGCAGTCCTGTGAGATCAGGGAGCATCCTGAAGGCAAGGAGCTTGTCCCACTTCAGTCAGGGAGCCTTTGCTCACAAATAGACCAACTCTCCAAAACCTTTCAAAGTCTTCAGATCCAGCCCACCCATCCTGAGGAAGGAGACCCAGGCCCAGCCTTGCCCCCAAAGGTGCTCTTGCCGGATGAACCCCTCAGTTCTAATTCTGTCCCTTCAGAATCACATCCTCCCCCCCCCACACACACACACTGTTGATTCTCCCTCAAGCTGTCTTTGTCTTGTATTTCCCATGTCCAGGAAGATTATAAATATTTACTGTTTCCTCCCCTGCCTACCCCTAATCCCCATCCTGACAGATAATGTCCTGTGGATGCAACAGAATGATCTCCCTGTGACTGAAGCCAGCTTGGGGTGCCTTCCAAAGGTTACCTCACCCAGCCTTCATCTCTAGACTAGCACAGGCAAAAGCTACCATAGCACATGATTGTCCTCTACACATGGCTGGTATTTGGTAAATGTTGGACCAAATTGTTCTTTTCTCTCCGGCCCTTCTCATCCTCGGTCTATAGGTGAAACCCACATTCTTCCGGCACTAGAACTGTGTTACGGCCTCATTCTAGATATGAGGGCAACACAGATTGAAAAGGCAGGGCTGGCTGACTGGTGTTGGGAGACGCAGCATGAGGAAAGGAAGAATTCTTGACACATCACCAGGATAATCCTAATAGGCGACATGGACCCAGGATCACCTGGTTCTGCAGGGATCAACCACCTGCCTTGCAGGAAAAGCTGAGGGAGGAGAAGTGAGTGGGTCCATGGGCCCAGGAAAAGGGAAGACTCTCAAGGCTTTCGTGGGTTGTGACTGGATAGAGCTCCTTTGGACAAAGGGAAAACGTAAAATGGAGCTCAGTGTAGGGCAGGTCTTAGCCTTGATCGGGTCTTCTGTGGGCCCCTGGGAGAATCCGGAGACAGCATTTTTATTCTTTTCTCCCCTTTTCTTCGTGGTCTATTTCAAGACTGTTCCTCTTGTCCAGGGCCGCGTGTTGCAACCTCTTGCGTGCTTAGGTTTCCAATCTTCAGCTGACGAGCCCCAGCCCCTGGGGACGCTGCTTGCCTAGCCGAGCCTTACCATGCATAGGGAAGTTGGATTTCGGCCCCGGGTTTGGCCACCGCTGCATCCTCCCTGCGTCCCACTTTTCTTCTGCCTGTTTGTATTCAGTCTAGACGATTCGTTTTTATTTGTTGGTGTCCTGCCCTAGCCCGGGGCAGCTATGGTGGGGTGGGAAGAGCACTGGAATTGGAGTCGAGAAAGCTGGCTTAAATTCTCACTAGGCTGTTTACCAGCTGTGTGAAAATTCAAGCAAATTATTTACCTTTTCTGGGCCTCCAGCATCTCCTCTGCTAAGCAATAGTAACAAGCCCCATCGCTAGGGTGATTAAAAGGCGACAATAGCTGGCATCAGGGATGGGGTCTCTGCTCCCAGCCCCCTGCTCTGGTCAGACCCCCACCTATCCATCAAGTCCCCACCAACCTCTCCTGGCACCTCTGCAGATGTACCACTGCCAGTCTCAGAATGAAGTTGTCTGTCTTCAGGCTCCAGTTTCAAAGCTGTGTGCGTGCGTGCGTGCGTGTGTGCGTGCGTGCGTGCGTGCGTGCGTGTGTGTGTGTGTGTGTGTGTGTGTGTGTGTGTGTGCCAGGTATGTATGTATATCAGATGTGGCCACTTAAGATGTGGCCACTACCAATTTTAATACGTGCTAAGTATAAAAATACATACTGGGGCAGCCAGGTGTGGTGGCACATGCCTTTAATCCCAGCACTCGGGAGGCAGAGGCAGGTGGATCTCTGTGAGTTCGAGGCCAGCCTGGTCTACATAGTGAGTTCCAGGACAGCCAGGGCTACATAGTGAGACTATGTAGTTGTCTTGAAAAACAAAAACAAAACAAACAAACAAAAAATGCATGCCAAGGCCAAGTGTGGTGGCACATGACTTTTATCCCACTACCCAAGGAGGCAGAGGGAGCCAGTTCTCTGTGAATTCAAATACAGCCTGATTTACATACTGAGTTCCAGGCTAGCTGGAGCTACAGAGTGAGACCTTGTCTCAAAAATAAATAGATAGATAGATAGATAGATAGATAGATAGATAGATAGATAGATAGATAGATAGACAGATAATTGATACCCCCAAAATATAGACAACTCTCTCACTAATAATTTTCAAATGATATTTCACATACATACTGATAAATAAAGCCTAATGTAAGTATGAATTTTACCTGTTTCTTTTAAAAATCTGACTTCTGAAAAAATTTAAAATGTACAGACTAGAAATATGACTCATGCTTAGAACTCATGAAGCTCTGGCCTTTGATTTCCCAGCACCGGACCAAAACAACAAATAAATTACATGTGACCCACATGTTATTTTTATTGGCCAGCACTGTTGTTGACTAAGCAAAAAGGTAGCAGGAAAAGGGGTCCTGGAAAGGGGGTGGGGAGCCAGGCTTGGTGACGCACACCTTTGATCCCAGCACTCGGGATGCTGAGGCAGGCAGGTCTCTGTGAGTTCAAGGCCAGCCTGATCTACAAAGCGAGTTCCAGGACAGCCAGGACTACACAGAGAAACCCTGTCTCCAAAGGAGGATGAGGAGGAAGAAGAGGAAGAGGGGAGGTGAGACGGCTCAATAAATAAAATGCTTGAACCACAAGTTCAAGGTCCTAAGCTCGGTCCCCAGCACAGAGAGAGGCATGCACCCGGCCAGCCAGTCTAGAGAAATCAGTGAGTTTCAGGTTCAGTGAGAGACCCTATCTCAAAAATAAGGTGGAGAGCAACTAAGGAGGACACCCAACGTCGACCTCTGACCTCCCCGTGCACATACAATACAAAACAGAAGAGTCCGGAGACAAAGCGGGTTCGGTTGTAAGTGCGAGGTCAAAAGACGCCTCACTGAAAAGTGAATCAGACTTGCAGGTTTGAAATCAAACATATCCTATGTGGGCTAGGGCGTGCCAACTAGAGGGGGCAGCCTCGCAAAGGCCACAAGAAAAGAACTTGAGGAATAGAAAAGTGGAAGCCGCATCCTCAAGATGAGTGAGAATCTAGCGAGTCATTGAAAGGCAGGGACAGCTGGGGAGTGGAGGGCCCTTCTTCTCTGGGTAAAATGGAGTCTCTTCAGAGTTGTGAGCCAAAAAGTGTTATGATCTGGCTCCTCCTTTACCAGGCTCGCTCCGGCTGCTCCGAGAGAACCAGCCCAAGGGAGGCCAGAGAAGAATCTGAGAGGCCAAGTTTCAGGTGGATACAAGATCACCTACCTCACTGGGCCTTCCCCGGACATCAACCCACGTGGGGTACGTGATTGGGAAAGGACAGGCACTAAGCCGAAGCTTCCAGAAGGCAAGACCTTGGCTCCGGTCCTCCCTGCATAGTGCATGCCCTGGCTGCTGCCCATGTCACCCCATCCTACTCAGGCACCCTCCCCCACTGTTGCCGGCACCTTGGTGAAAACATCTGGAATCAAGATGCCCATTTGCATCCCCTGCTGCTCTCTCTGATACAAGCACTTCCTGTTTTGTGGCAGCCCCCACTTCCTGCTGGAGTACCACCTCTGCTCAACCCTTCCGCCTGGGGTTCAACATCCACTCAGACCCATCTCCAATACGCCTTTCACCCGTCCTGTAAGAGGTGTTCCCGGTTAGGTCATGAGAAAGCACCTGCACCACGATCCCCCAACCCCAGCTAGGAGCCCCTGGCAATGCCGATGCGTTTTCTTATTTGCGGGAACACAGCTCTTTCTCTCTCACCACTCGCCCTCCACTGGTCTTGCTGCTGGTGTATCTTACACACAAGCGTGCCCGAGGGTGTACCACAGCAGCCGACCCTGTGTGTACCAGTCCTATTTGCAGTCTGAAGGAGTAAGGTGCTAGAAGCAGACTGAGACACAGTGTCACTGTGTCAAAGACCCAAGCCGGGTCCACCTGGCCCGGGACTAGGGCAGGACAAGAAGGCTGGCCTGGGGACAACAGACGGGTAGCAACAGACTATTGGACTGCTACACCTAGAACACACAAGTAAACTGCACCCTGGAGTCACAGCACCCCCCCCCCCTCCAGCTGGACCCGCTTCCCTCTCCTGGCCAGCCCCAGCCAACAGCTCTCTCCAGTCTCCAGGGAGCAGCTGGGGACATGGCCTGGTCCTTGTCTGACAAGGAGGCTAGATGAGTTCGGCACAGTGTGAGGACCCTCTTCTAAGACGCCCATCCACCCATCCCTGGAGCACACACTCTCTGTATCGAGCCAGGAATGGAGAGGTCATCCCATATCCTCTGCCCCGGGGACCGTTTCCCAGACCTAAGACAAATGCCATGCTCCCAAAGGAGGAGGGAAGGTGGGACAGGAGGACCCAAGAGAAGGAGAGACCAAGGAGAGCTTTGAGATCAGAATTCAATTCTTTAATACAAAATGCTTTTTTTTTTTTAAGATATATCTGTATTTCTTTGTTGCTGTTTAAAAATAAATATGTACTACGGAATATCTCGGAAAACTGCACTAGAGACAAAGACGTGATGTTAATATCTTTTTCCCCCACAATTATTACGGATAAACAGTAGCACCAATAAATAAATGATAACAAATATTAAAATTAAAAAAGGAGAGAGATTTAGTATGTAGAATTCTCTATTTTTTCTTGTTTTGTTTTTACATATAAAAAACAGAATAGCAATGTCTATTTTATCAGAATCACATATATACATAAACATATATATATATATATTTATATACAAACACAAGTTACCAAATATATATATAGTATGTAAATGTATATTGAAACCTTATTTCAAAGGAATGTGTGGAGGGGACCAGGGAAGGGCAGAGCTGAGTGTTAGCAAAATTAAATCTCTTCTCAGGACAAGCTAGTGACTGTCACCAATCCGGGAGAGAGAGATTGGAAACACAGATTTCATACACACACACACACACACACACACACACACACACACACACACAAAGTACAAATAAAGAGAGCGAGAGATACATCTCATAAATAGTTGAAATTAAATATTAACCAAGAATACTGAAAAAAAAAACCCTACTCTTTAATTAAATTAACTGTTTTTAATTTCTAATTAAAAAGGACTATTAAATAAGTACCGTATATAAAACACTTTCTCTTTTCTCTGCCTCCGTGAGGGCTTGCGGGTCCTGCCCCACTGCTCTGTGCCTCAGGAAGGGGTGGGGTGGGGGAGGGTCAGCCACGCACACACGGCCAAGTCTCCTGGGGAACAGAACTAGTGGTTTCAATGGTCTGAGCACACGAGGTTCCCCTGGGCTGTACCCAGGAAGTGGGGTAGGGAGAGAAGGGTTCCCAGGAGGAGGAGCCTCTGTGGGGGGCCTCCTGGGCACCTCGGAAGCGGAGGAGTGGGCTGCAGGCTGGCCAGGCTCCTGATTCTTCCAGGCGGTGCCCAGAGGGCGGCGTGTAGCGGGATCCACGAAGCAGGCCATGTCCCGAGGCTCCCGACTCCTGTTGGGACCAGCGTCTTTGTCTCTTTTTCTGCCATCTTTCTGTCCTCTTGACTCGGGGCCAGGGATGGGTTTGTCGTGTTTCTGGAAGTGAGCCAGTGTGCCCCCCGTGCCCTGGCCTCGCACGTTCCCTGGCAGGCAAAAAGACGAAAGACCACACCGGAGTCTTTCATCCCACTGTCTCCCCTCTCAGGATCCGAGCAGGGACATTCACCTCCCAACTCAAGTCCACAGCAGTCAGACACATCCAGTGAAGACACCAATAACATTAGCAAAGTTAATTTAAAAAAAGAATATATATATATTTTATATATATAAAAACATATATATTTATTTATATATATAATATATATATATGTGTGTGTATGTGGGTGGGTGTGTCTACAGGAATCCCAGAAATAAACTCCCTAATCTTCCGGGCTTGGTGATTTAGCAGCAAGTAAAAGAAAATGTCGAATCCAGTTCCACAAGGGACCGTGCTTGGTCACCTGCCCGGGAATGCTTCTGCCGGAGTCTCGCCCTCCGGACCCAAAGTGCTCCTCGAAGAGTCTCCTCTTCCTTCACGTCAGGCTTTCTGGATTAAGGACTGTTCTGTCAATGGTGACGATGATGGTGTGGTGGTGACATGGTTAGTCGGTCTTTCTGGTGAGAGGTCTGGTTCCCGAAACCCTGAGGGAGGCTCCTTCCTGCAGCCTGGCTCACCGCCTTGGCTTGTCACATCTGTGGGGAGTGGCAAAGAGAAGCAGGGGGTTAGGGCCACAGGAGCCTGGCGGTGAGGCAAACAGCCTCCCCAGGCCTGGGAGACCCCGGTCCCTGTAGGCTGGCACTACAGGAGCAGGGTTCCCCGAGGCGCAGGTGAGACAGAGTCCCGGTGGGGAGGGAGAGAGAGACCCAGCCCTGCCTGCTAAAGATGGCGAACTACGAAGACGAGACAGACATGGAAATACTTGCAAAGCAACACATGAGCAGTAGAAGACCAGCCCCCATGTGACACTCCACAGCGGAGGGGTGACAAGGTTAGAGGTAGTTAGCTGGGAGAGGGTCTCTGCAGAGGGATTTTCCGGTCTGGCTCCTAGGGGTGGGTCTAGAAGAGTAGACAGTGGACAGGAAAAATACCTTGGGCTAGGCCAATGACAGAGGACCACCCTGGGATGTGTTCTGTCCAGGCGGACAAGTCCCGGAGCTCCAGGAAGGTAGGAAAACATCTATGCCCCGACACCTCTCTCGGCCTTAGCTTCCACCTTGAGCTGGCCGGCAGCTGCAGGCCCAGGCATGGGGCCGCCTGTCTTTACCACATGTCTGCCTTAGGCTGGGCTCAGACAACTTAGTGGCCTTGCTCCTCTGACTGAAGCAGAGGGGGTTTCTCCTCATGCTCCTGGCCCTGGCTGGGTGCCCCGAGGACAGCCTGAGAACACGGGTCCCACCCAGTCTTGGAAATGCAGTTCTCAGACACAGGCAATGGTGGACTGGTCAGGTCTCCGGAAGTCAGGTAACCTCAATTAGCTCCCCAGCTCACTCCAGAAACCTTACAATGCCAAGGTCTTTATCTTCCTTAAAACCCTCTGGGGAGCTGAGCCCTGTCCCCCACCCCTGCTGTTTGGAAGAGGCCCTACCACAAAACTGACACACTCAGAGTTCTTACAGTGTTTCACAGGAACACCCGAGGCCAGCTCTTATACAGTGTTTCACAGGAACACCCGAGGCCAGCCCCCTCACGTCTTTTGAACACCCACAAGACACAGAATGCAGGCAGGGAACGGGCCCACACCTAAGAACCCTGCACCTCCTTGGGAGCCTGCTCCTCCCTGGGGTCATCCCTCTAAAAGCTCCCTTTGTGGGTGATGCTCGTACCCAGGACAGGCCATATCGATATAAACACCTGTCTAGATATCAAGACTAGGAGCTGCCAGTCACAGCCCTGTGCTCTTGACCTCCCCACTGAATGTGGTCATATACAACAGTCACTCATGAGCTTGACATTTTCCTTGGTTCACAAGGGCAAAGGACAGAAGTACAGACACCTGGGTATCCCAAAGTGTTATGAACCAGGCCCAGGCTTAAGGTGCCCACAGAGTCCTGTCAGGGAAGGGGGCCCGGCTCTTTCCTGCAACCACCCTGGAAGCCTTTCTGAAATGTGTGGGCTGTTGAGGACTGTCCCTCTTGACCATGACTGAGGCAGGACTGAGTTATCTAGGGTCCTCAGATGTATGTAGAGAGAATTTCCCATCCTAAACCAACCGCAGAGCCCCACTTTCAGAGAGGCCTGGTCTGAGGTGGACACAGCCTGTCCTCAAGGCCTCCCACTCCAGGAGAGACAGCCTGTCTTCAAGAAGCCATAGTCTGAAGGGGGGCACAGACAGCAGGAGCTCAGACCCCACGCCCAGGAAAAACCACTGGGCGGTGAGAGGCCCGGCTGTGCGGGCTCTGGGGGCAGAGGGGCAGCCAGGGAACGCTATCGACATCCCACGGCTGAAAGGACTTTCGGATCTCAGCATCTGCACCGAGGGGAGAATGAACAACATCAGCACCCGCCGACAACCTTCACAAGCAGCAGGACCGCAGGCCACAGCACACAGCTTGCGTCCACACCATCACATTACGCCACAGCAGCCTACCCGCTCAGGCAACCAGGGCCATCATCTCAGAGCAGGCCTGCCAGGCCAGACTGGAGCCCGGGGCCCCACACAGCCTCAGGAGTCGAGAAGGCAGCAGCAGTCCCCACACAGGCAGCTAGAAGCTGAGCAAGCAGCTGGCCCCTCACAAGCGTGCTCTCTCTGTCTCTCTCTCTCTCTCTCCCTCTCTGACTCTCGCTTGCCCTCTGGAAACCAACCTGCAAGTACGTTCGTTTAACTCAAGCTGCCTCGCCTTGCAACGCGAGTCTGTGTTTTTGCAGGAACATTTACACGTCTGCGGATCTTGGACAAACAAATGCTTTCTCCGCTCTGAGCAAGGCTCACAGTGACTGCAAAAAGGCAAAAGGAAAGACATCTAAGCTAGAGCATCAGCAGAGAGAGAGAGAAAAAAAAAAACCCATGCAATACCCCCTAACGTGGCCACCACGGCTTCCCCACCCAGCTCGCTGGCCCCTAGGCCCTTTCCACATCCTGGAAAGATCGGAGCGCTCCAGCAGAAGACAGAGAGAGGCAGAAAGACGCGGCACTTGGCAGGGCATCTGCCTGCAGAAAGAGGAGGGCACAGGCGGGCAGAGTGCAGGGAGAAGGCTGCCGTAAGGGGCAGTGCTGCGCCCCACCAAGACACGGGCCTATCTCAGGCCCTAACTGCTGCTATTCCCAGAACACGTCTTGACTCTTTACCTGCTGGGGACAGTGATGAGTGGCCCATGAGACCACCAGAGGCACCTTCTCCCTGGAAAAGGACCTCTGCCCAGACCCTCCACCAAGGGAGAGGGCCAGCAGCAGGCAAGCCAAATCCAGGGGGGCACTGTCCACCAGCAAGGCCTCCAGAGCCAGCACAGCCTGCAACCCAGAGGAAGCAGCCACCCGCGAAGACCTCAGTGGGTGATCTCGGTGGGACTGGAATGGAGGGCTTTTCCCTCCTGGAGCCTCAAGTCGTGGTGTCGGAGCACTTCCAACAGATGAGAAGGGCGGCCACACAGAGCCTGGCCCACCAGGCTTATGCTCAGCCCACCGTCATCCACTTCCCAACCATCATGCCCGTCACTCACTCCACCCTGACCCTCCAGACGTGTGCAGGAGCCTAGAGCAGTGGAAACCAGTCGGGTGAGAGGGCCCCAATGCCCAGCACCCATGCCAACAATGGCCCCACCACCAATGCCCAGTGGGTGAGAGAAAGTTGGTGCCCAGCCAAGCCAGAGTCCCCTCCCTGAGTGCTCCAGACCTACTCACCTGCCACCCCACCTCATCCCAACCCTGGTCCAGCAATGCCACCACCAAGTCTACCCGTTGGTGTCATTAGTGGAATGAGTGAGTGAGAGAGAGAGAAAGAGGGAGAGGGAGGGAGACTGAGGCCAGCAGAAGGCCAGGGCAAGAGCCAGAGGGGAGCTGAGGAGGGGAGGCAGGGTTAGGGGAACGGCAGGCGCTTGTCTGGAGGCCAGGAAGGCTCCAAGGAATTAGACAGCAGCGGCACCAACGTACACGCTCCAGGATTTAAACCGGGATTTCTTGCGCTTTCGTTTTTGACCCTTTCCCCTTCCTCGAACTGATTTTCTGGAAAATATAAAAATAGAAACAGACAGGAAGAGAACGAGGGGGGAGAGAAGAAGAGAGGCACAATGAAGAAGACAGAGGCAAGATCGGGAGGCCCAAAGGCTCGCGGGTCACTTCCTGGAGCAGCCTCCGGGAAGGACCACAGGTACGGGCGGGCTGGGACAACATACATCCTTCTCCTCGCTCTGCCCACCGTAGGGCTGTGGGCGGGCAGCAGAGACTGGGCAAGGCACAGCCTCTAGGTTCATGTGGCCCCTGGCCCCTGGCCCCCGGCAGGGCGCAAAGCCACGGGGGCCAGATCTCTGCCCAGCAAGGCAATAAATACCGTTAGACCCTGAAGGTCAGGAGGTTCTATGAAGGGCTAAGGCGGACTTTAAGGAGAAAGTCTGATTCAAAACCTTATAGCTGGAGAAACATCTGCCTTTGTCTCTAAGTGTGATAGATAGCAGGGGTCCCTCTGGGGACCCCGCCTCACTGTGTCCTTGGTGAGAGGGGACAGTCACTTGGGAGACTGGCACAAAAGCCAGGCAGGGCATGGGGGCACCAGCTGCCCAGCAGTCACCTGGGACGGGAGTTGGGTCTGAGTGTCCTCAGAGCCCAGCAGTGATGGAGGGACCGGGGATGAAGGAGAGTGCGGCATGCGGGTGTGACTAGGGGGCCAGGGGACTTGGCAGAGTCTCCTCTCTCCAGCTTGTCGGAGCCTGCCACTAGACCCTCTTCCGAGCCCAGGCGAGCCCTGGCACTCTCCCTGTGGGCAGAGCGGGCATCTAGTGAACAGCTGAGGAGACAGGCTACTGCCTGCCACCCTCCAGGGAACTAGCACTCTCTAGGCCTGCCAGGTCCCAGGGAAGACATGGCAGCCTGTCTATCACAGGGAAAGAGACAGGAAGGGACCTGGGGAGTGGGCAAGTCTGTCCTGCTTGGGAGAAAGCCCTAGAAGGATGGAAGGAGAAAGCTCTCCACACAGGGACCCTCGCCGGGAGCACGCCCCCTCTCTCTCACTGATAAACTCCCAGACCATTGCTCTGGCAGACACAGTAGTCCTGGAATCTGGGGACTGAGGGAGAGGCATAAGGACAGCAAGTCCCCCGAGTGGGAGGGCAGACAGGAAGGGATGTGGGGGGGAGGGGAGGGGATGGGTGCTCTCTCTCAGTCGCTCCTTCCCTACAAGCTCGTTTTTCCCTATCAACGTCAGCCCCCGACCCATCCTCACACAACAAGCAACCGGAAGCCTCAGAAAATGGCCACCACACGGCTTTTCCTACCCTCCTGAGAGGGCGGAGTCTGCTACCTGCCCCAGTCTTGTGGAAAGCATACACACACCAAGAAATCTCCTGGACCGCCACGGTCAGTCACCACCGAACAAGGCCAAGGCCACGTCCTGATACACAGAAACTGCCCTCCGACACCGGCTCCCTCTCCTTCACTCCACTGTGGGTGCAAGTGCCCACACCACCACCCACACTGAGACAGTGAGTGCCGGCCTGAAGGGACCTGAGCCCCGGGGGACAGCATCTTCTTCAGGGCAAAGAGCAGACTCCGGCTTGGATGTCTTCATCATCCTAGAGCAGCAGGCCTGAAGCTGGCTCCATCCCACTCTGGTCACCATGTCACCGTCACCACATCACCACCCACCCCGCGGCCCGACCCACTGACGCCATCAGGGCCCCCCAGAGAGGAAGCCGAAAGCCCCCAACCAAGACAACTGGGCAAAAGTGCTAACATGTGGCCACTTACTTTTCTGGCTTTGTTCTGTCTTTCTTTGGTCTGCAAAAGGTAGAGAAAGGAGAAAGAAAACAAAACACAGAGGAATCAAGATGATGATGACGTCAACAGGCGAAATGACCACAACCCGGTAATAGCGCCATGTTTATGATTTAGCGAACGCTATCTTTATCTTTACGCATCCTAACGAAGCTGGTCCCTGTGACACTGGTGAGGGACACCGAACTGTCCTGCCCACTTTCTAGATGTGGGCAACACACATGAAGTAAGCACACTGAGGTCAGATGCCCAGGGTCACAGTTGGTCGGAAGGCTGACGTGGGCTAACAAGGGTGATTGCCTCAGCTCTGGGGCAGGCCGTGGCCGGGGGCTGCCTGGGGGGGGCGGGGGCTGCCTGAGGGGGGGGGCGGCCGGGGGCTGCCTGAGGGGGGGGGCGGCCGGGGGCTGCCTGAGGGGGGGGCGGCCGGGGGCTGCCTGAGGGGGGGAGACTCTATCCTCACCTGCATTCACATCTACTGTGCTGTAGGAAGCTCATCTCTCCTATGTGCTGGCTTTGGTGAGGTTTGATCCGCATGATCTGGAGAGGGAGGGAACAGATCACAGAGGTTAGTGACCCAGCCAGCCATACCCGTATGGGACACCCCGGGGCTCCTGCCATTCAGCACCCAGGGGTTCTATGGAGCATAGGCGGTGGAGGTAGGGGGATCAAGGCTCTAACAGAAAGGAGCCTTGGGCCACCCAACTCCCCCAAGCCTGCAGGCCTTAAGGAGCGCCTGCTCTTGAGGGCAGACACAGCTGCAGGGGTTGGCCAGGCTGGGAATTCAGGTCCTGGATTCTCACCATCCCAATCCCTTCCCCTCCTTCATCCCTCCCAAGCTTCACCCTAACCCTTACAAGCTACCTAAGAGCTACCCACCCCATGTCACTCAGCTGCCTCCCACTCTCCACCCCGTCTGGGCCCAGATCCACCCATCACTATGTAGCTAAAAGACCGGCTTTTAACTCTGCAGTGCCATCCAGCTTCCCAAATGGAGCCCTCAAGCTGGGAAAGCTTTGGGGCCGCTCTCCCAGACAAGGAGAAGGGCACTTGTTGTAGACACCAGCCCCTGCTGAGCCGAGGGAGCAAGGTCATCAAAGCTGAGGACACGGTCAAACCGTCGCGAACTCAAGCAGGGGAGTGCGGAAAGGCGGCCATCTTCTTCCCCATTGTAGAAAAGAACCTCCAACCTCACCTCCTCACCCCCAACCCCAATTCAGCTCCTCCTATCAAGAGTTTCCCAGGCAGAGGCCCAGACAACCTTCTAATGGCCCTCCTTGTCCCACCCTCCCCTCCTGCACCCCGTCCGTCCCCTACGCCACAGGCACCTACCTGCATGGTGATGTTGCTCTCCGAGGTGGGCACACACTCCAGAGCCTCGTCGTTACAGCAGCCCCCACACCTCATTAGGGGCACACAGGACGGCTTGAAGATATACTCTATCTCATCAGGGTACTCCTGGAAGATGTCCACCAGGGTCTCGATCGGACGGCAGTAGCTGCGCTTGTACACGTCCATGAACTTCACCACTGCGTGGGAAGGGTGACACGTGAACCCGCTGGTAACGCAAAGATGGTCAGCCCCTCCCCCCAGCAAATCGCGGCTTCCATATCAGGTAAGTGCTAAAAATCTAAATGAAGCACCTCCCTCATTTCTAGGTCCAGGTCCAGGGGGGGTTGGCCTGCCATATCTGCCTCCCTTCCTCGTTGTAAAACGAAGCAGGTTCCTGGGCCAACTACGATTCCAGAGGGCAGTCTGAGTGTGGGTACACCTGCTTCCCACTTCCATCCCACAGCTATGGCCACAACACCCAGCAGGCCGACAGCCACTCACCAAGTACATGCTGGACCCCACGGGACGTCCTAAGTCCTACTAAGTACCACCAGGACCTTATTTTATAAATGGGGACCTAGAGGCTCAGACAAACGCCATAATTTGTCCCGAAGGCCACACTGCTAGTGAGAGGCAGTCAGAACGGGCTGTGAGAGCAAAGCCTTACACACCCACAACACGCGCAACCACAGAGGCTTGAGGAGTCGCCTCACGGTCGCCAGTCCCACCTCCCCAGACTTGAGCCGAAGACAGTCAGTCAGCAGGTGGCAGGCACACTTGGCAGGTCCTGCCAGCACTCAGAACCCCGCCCAAGAGGGCAAACTGTTTGCATCATGGAAGAAACAAGAGCCGCCTCTGTATAAAGCACTTCTAGAAGCTGACTCGGAGGAAGACAGGGGAGAGACAACTTCCCAGGCAGCCTGAGGTACTTGTCAGCAGGAAGGGGATTCGGGGCCAAGGGGGCAGGCGGTAGAGAAGCATAGGACTTCTTGGGGACATCAAATGGTGGCTCAGCTGGTCCCTCTGGTCACATCCCTAACACTACCCCTCAGAAGCCTGCCCCTGAAGTGAGAGAAGAGAGAACACAAGCCCACGCGGGGCCCAGGCTCCGCCAGCAGCTAGTGTGACCTTGGGCCTGTCCCTCCAGTCTCTGGGCCTCCAACTGGCTATCTGTAGAAGCAGGTTGGCCTGACCTCTAAAGACACTTAAGTGAGCACGGAGGTGGGGTTCCGTCTCTCTTTGCTAGCCCTGAAAACAACTCTTCTTTTCTCATTCCAGGTGACAAGGTTTGGAATGTCACCAAGGCATTTGAAGTGTTCGCTCCAGAGACTACACTGCCTACCCCCTCCCTCTCAACCTAGGGCCACAGCCAAACCTCCCTCGGCTCTTTGTGGGTTTTCGTTTTTGTTTTTTTTCCAGAAAGGTAAAGAAGATGGGACCCAGGAGTGTGATAGGTTGACTGGGGAGAAACTGGGGCATCGAGGGAAAGGTGGGGTGATGTCCACAGATGTCAAACAGGAAAAGGAATGGGGGTAACCTAACTGCCACCCCCTGCCTTGCTCAAGGGCTCTCTTTTCTATCTGGACAAACAAGCACAGAATTCTTGTCTACCCCCAAAGAGTTAACGTACAACACAGCCCCCCCAAAAAGTCCATGAGATCAGATCTGAAAAATTCTTTTCAAGCCAAGTCTGTATAGAAGATGACTAACCCAGAATTTTTTTTTTTAACTGACCCTTCTTCGTCTTGGCTGGGGCAGAGGTGGCCCAGGTCAGTTAGTGACCCCCCAGGAGCAGGTAGCAGAAAGGTATATGACCCAAGCACTGACCGGGGATGGGAGCTGCAGGTAAAGGGGATTCTTTCTGAAGGGCCACAGGAGGTGGTGGACATGCCTTGGCCAGTACCCATGGGAGCCTGGCCCCTGCCCCCAAGGAAAGCTGTCCTGCTACCCGGGACGTGTGCACACATACACTCCAGCATCAGGCTTTCGTGGTTTTCCTTATTTATGGCAGACAACCTTTTCTCCATCAAACAAAGACCATTTGTCTTGCCTCTCCCAGACCACAGAGCCCACTAGGAAGCAGAAAGGGGTGGGTAGCCCTTTGGAAGTGGGGGCCTGTCAGTGGCTGGGCCCCGGGAGTGGCAGAAAGCCAGGCCCTGGGCCGGAGAAAGAGCTCCTGGGGGAGGAGGCAAAACCGGCTGGACATCACCAGCCTTCCTTGGCTGGCTCCAGCAGCCAGCCGCACTGGATTTGGGTCAGGGAAATGAGCCTAGAGGAAGACCCCAGGGCCTTCCCTACACAGAGGAAGGACACTGGGGGAGTGGCATCCGGCTGGAGCAGAGGCCACACTCAGTGCTGGGGAGAGCCAGGGCGTCCCCCAGAGAAATGGGAGGATCCCGGTACTCCAAACCACACTGGAACAAAAGGCAGGCGGACTCGGGGTTGGGCAGGGGGGCGGGGCGCCGGAGAGCTACAGCCGGCCCTCTGCTGGTCCTGCAGGGAAGTTCACAGCACCCAGTCTATGGAAGCTGCCATCCTCGGAGAAGTGCGAACCCAGGGCCGGGCAGTACTATGCATATGTCCTCCTATTCTGCCTCCAGCTCACACAGGAAGAGTCACAGCCCACCCCCACCCCCCCGGGTGGGCCATGGCAGAGTAGGAAGTGGCACGAAACGTTTATCCTCCCCTGGGAGTAGGGGATACAAGGGATACCTCCCTGAACATCTGGAAACCCTGAACATTGCCTTCCTCATCTGTGGCTCACGGCAGCCTTTCCAGATAAAATTTTACTGGAAAGGGCATTAGAAAAAGCAACAAGTCCTGTTCCTAGCAGAACGCCGAAGGGAAGACAGCCTTAAGAAACGCGAGAGTTAAACCCACAGTATCCATGAAATCTTGATCCTCGTATTCCTGCGCCCCACCCCACCCCCGAGTCTGAAAAGGAAGAGTGGGACTTATCCACGCGCCCTCGAGACAAGGGGAGGGGTCCGATCCGAGAACATGGGGACTCACCTTCGTGGGCTTTCTGCTCTCCTTCTGTCGTGGGTGCAGCCTGGGACCACTACAGACAAACAAAGAGGAAAACGCATTGGCGGGGCACGACAGAGGCAGCCAGAGTGCAAAGGCCAAGCACTGAATCCCTGACCCCCTCTTGCCTCTCTCCCAGCCCCCAGCCTCCAGCTCCTCCGTGGCTTCTGAACCAAACAGGGAAGAGTCGGGGGGGTCCCCCGCAGGTCCAGAGCATACCCACTACCCCTGGACTGCCTCAAGTCTGAACCCCTGAAGTTAAAGTCTAACCAGGTGCTGGGGAGCTCACAATTCAGGAGGGAAATACCAGACCCCTGCATTGTCCAGGCCCCTAGCTCCCCTCCATTCTGGCCTCCTCTCTCTTCTCACTGCCCCCGATTCCCTGGTCCAAAGCCACGGGTAAGTAGTAAGGTCAAACAGGAGGACAAATTTGGACTGGGGCAGGAAGGAAGGACTAGGGGCGAGAAAAACAACATGGTGACCTTCTCCTGCTGACATGACAAATACCAGGGTGAGCTGGTGCTGAAGAGGGAGGGGGTGCAGGGGACCGAAGGGCACCCACTACCCTCCCCCTCCAAACCCTCCCCAGGCCTCAGGAGCAGCCCGCATGCCCACAGGTTGCTCAAGGGCTGAAAAGCCAGGAGGAAGGCCCCAAGGAAGGGTGTCCCGTTGTCCTCCCCCCCTCTGCCCAGAGCCTGAATGCAGTCCCGAAGCCTGGCCAGCCCCACCACATCCCCAAGCCTCTCGCCCAGGCAGAGGACTTTGCTCAAATGGAGCCATGAAAGCTTTCTTCTCAGAACTGCCCGGTTCCAAGGGGTCTCTTGCTCCACCCTGGGCCTGGGCCCCCATCCTTCTGATCCCCACCAACTCCTTTCTCCCCTCCCCAGAGGCTGTGGAGGTCAACAAAAAGGCCATGTGGACCTGGCAATAGGGAAGCAAGGGAAGGCTCCTAGGCCTTCCCGAGGGTCTCCTGGCCCTACCAACTCCCCAGCCACATGCCCCACACCCACCTGGACCTCCAACTGCCCTGAGAAGGATGCCCACCCTTGGCCTGTCTCTCTCCTCCACCAACAGCCTCGCCACCAGGGCCAAGGTCAGAGGTGGCCCTTCTCAAGAGCTAGCCTCCCACTGCAGCTACCTCAGGCAGGCCCTGGATTCTGCTCCTCAGGCCCTCAACTACCAAGCTCAACAGCCTCGTGACATTCTCCCTCGGTCCTCTATCTCGGCCCCAATGGAGAAAGGAAAAGAAACTTTGAACCCCCTCCCAGATGGGGAGGTTCTAGGCAGGGACTGGCCAGGTGCCCTTCTCTGGGGGCCTCTGAAGGTCATACTGTGGCCAGGCACTCCTGCCCCTCCTCCCCACATGGAGGCCCAGAGCCAAGGCCTTTGTGCCAGGGTCTGAGGAACTCTGGATGGTGGCAGGGACCCCTGCCTGTCTCCTTCCTTCTGCCCCCTCTCCAAGTAGGCTCCCTAGCTGAGCATTAGTGGGAAAGAGCATGAAAGGACCCCTTAATAGGCAAACTGGGTGGGCAAGTTCAGAGTTAAACCACCTGCTCTCTGAGCAGCGGGTTTTGCCAGGACAAAGTGTGTGGGAGACACTGACAGGCGATCCTGCCAAAGGTGTGGGAAAGGCTAGTTCCAGGCTGCCCCTGTCACAGCAAATATCAAGACATTTTTCCAAAAAGGGGAAAGCGGGGTGATGTCAGTCTACCCTTCACTGACCCCCACAAACGCTGGAGCACAGCTCACTAGAGCGGCTGGAGAGAGGAGGTTAGCACACCGACCTCCACCGACTCAAAACTTAGGTTAGCGTTTCCACAAAGAGCCCGAGGGTGGGCCTCAGCACCCCCACGTCTGACACTCACCGTCCTTTTCCTGGACCCGGGGGTCAGAAACGGTTCTACGAGCCTTCTCCAAGAGAAGGAAGATATAAAAGGGTGGGAAGGGCTTCTCTACACACCAGGCAGGAAACGGGGAAAACGGGAAGGGGCGTCGGGAAATCCTTCCTAGCGCAAGGCACGGGTAGAAGTTGGGGTCGGAGGAAAAGGGTATGGGAGTTTCTCCGGGTCACGGAGCCGGGGATACCTCTAGAGGTCACCTTCCTTGCGGAGGGCCGGCGGGGGGGAGGGGCGCCGCTGGTCGCCCGGGTCTCCCGGCTCCCGCAGCCGCGGCTCCGGGAACACGAGGCCGGCCAGGCCCGGGCTGATGTAATCGGCTCTGCGCCGCGCGCGCCCGGCCGGGCGGGGGAGGGCGGGCACCGCGCGGGACGCGAGCGGGGACGGGAGGGGGTGGCGCAGCGCAGGTGGCCCAGCAAGCTGGAGGGGTGGGAGAGGGTCCCCGCAGCAATCCATCCTAAAACTTTTCCCAAACTCACGGCAAGGGCCCAAGAGACCCGGGCCGAGTGACAGCAAAGCCCCCTCGGGCGCTCGCTCCCTGCCCCCTCCACGATCTCTGCCCTCCCCCGGTCCAAGGTCCGAGCACCCCCAGGCATGCCCGCTGGGCTGGCTCCGGACTCCCGCCCCCGTTGCCCGGACTTCCAGTTCTCCGGGGACCCGCGACCCGGAGCAAACTTCTGCCGCCAGCCACAGCGCAAGCCCAGCCCCCTCGGCCTCCTCCTCTGGCTCCCGCCCTCGGCTGCTCGGCCCAGATCGTACGTGCGGTGACTCTGGTGGGTGGGCAGGGCCCGCGTGGGCGGCGAGACTATCCTGGCGCCCTCCCACCTAGCGCGCACCCCCTCCCCCTCCACGTACGACGACAGAGGGGGACGCCTCGCGCCGGGTGCCCAAGGACCCGCGTGGGACACGAAGCCCCCACGCGCGCGCTCGCACGCACGCACGTCCCCAAGCGGGAGAGGCGCTCGCCACGGCCCGGCGACACCAGGCGGGCACGACCGCTTACCTTGGCATGGTGGAGGTACAGCAGTAAAGCCAGGGTCCAGTGCACCCAAGAGAGCAGAAAGTTCATGGTTTCGGAGGCCCGTCCGGGGCCGGCGCGGCTCGCGCTCCCTCTCCGGCTCGGACTGCGAGGCAGCCCGCTCTCTTGCGCGCCTTGGCGGGCTCCTCTCCCTTCTGGAACCGAGGCCCGGGCCGGGGCCTGGGGCGCGCGCGCGGCTGGAGCACTGTCTGCGCACACGGCCGCCTCACCCGTCCATGAGCCCGGCTCCCGCGAGCCGAGCGCCCACTGCGGCCCCCTCTCCTCTTCCTTATCTTCCTCCTCTCTCTTCTCGGGCCCCGGCTCCTCCAGGCCCGAGCTAGCACTTCTCCCAGCTCCGATCGGTTTGCCTCCTCCGGCGCAGACCACGGCTACTCCCGAGCGAGAAGAGCCCAGAAGTTGGACGAAAAGTTTCAGTGCAATCCCGCGAGCCCCGACCCCCTCCACCCCGCCTCCGGGCGCGGGCTTCGGCTCCTGCTCGCGGCTCGCCGCCGCGTCCACCGTCGGCAGCCCGCCGGCGAGGAGGTGGGCGCTGGGGCTGGGGGCGGTGTCTGTCTGTCTATCCGTCAGCGCGACTGGTCCGATGCAAGATCCCAAGGGGGAGGGCTCACGCCGCGCTCTGACGGTCACCCCCAAAAGCAGGTCAGTCACTTTGCCCCTGTCCTTCTCTCTGCTCGCTCGCCAGCGCGCTCTCTCTCTGACCGGTCTCTCGCTTCCTCGACTTCCCTCTGGAGCTCTTGCTGCCTCTTTTCTCTGCTGATTTCCAAAATCCGAAGTGATTTGAGGGAGTGAAGGAGCAACCTCCCCAAACCGTTGGCACGATCAAGACGGGAATAAGAAGCAAAAATAAATTAAAGCGCAAAACAATACAGTTTTTAAAACGTTTAAGAAAAAAAAGAGGTTTGAATATCAAATCCCAGCGCGGAGACTCCCTGGCCGGTGAGTCCGCTGAATAGTCTGCCTTGTCGCTGCGTCTCGCGACAGAGCTCCGCTGCCGCCGCTCAGCTCGCCCCCAGCGCCACGGCCTCGCTGCAGCTCGGCTGCCCCAAGCCTCTGCGCTTCTCACCGCTAACAGCGGTGGAAAAAAAAGGGGGTCTGGCCCCGCCCCCAAATGCCACGCCCCAGACCCGCCCCGGGGGCGAGGCCAGGCTGGGCCAGGCACCGCCTTCTAGGAGCCCCTAGGCCACCACTGAGAAGTGGAGAGCTAAAACCCCCACCAGGGCTCACAGCCTGAAAATTATCCGTGCACCCCTTCAGACTGGGTCCAGGGGCACATTGGACACACTGGGTGTTGGGAATCAGGGGAGACACGGGAATGAGGTTATGTGCGGACAGGGTCTGAGAGCAATACCCTTTCCTGGGATTATTGGAGAAGGTGGGGGGAGGGCGGAGAGCTGGCAGGGACCCGTGGGGAGAGGGACACAGATTTGTTGGAATCCCGGAGTGACCCCTGGTCTTCTCCCCCACCTCACATACCACACACACACACACACACACACACACACACACACACACACGAACGCATGCACATTGACACACGCGTCCTCCCTCACGCAGACTGGCTCGCCCAAGTTCACGATCTCCCGGTGGTGGCCGAGCGCCCCCTAGTGACTACATTATGCACTCCTCAACTCCGGCTCAAACCGCACAGGTCTTGGGAAGAGGGTGAGAGTTGCCTCCCGAACCTGGCATTCTTTTTGCTTGTTTGTTTTGAGTTGTTGTTGCTGCTTCTGCTGTTGTTGTTTTCTCTCTGTGTAGTTCTGACTGTCCTGGAACTCTCTCTGTAGACCAGGCTGGCCTCCAACTCACAGACATCCTCCTGCCTCTGCCTCCGGAATGCTGGGATGAGTGTGCCGCCACCGCTAGGCGGGCCTGCATTCTTTGACCTCCCAGTTGCATTTTTCTGACACCTCCTAACAGTTGCGTGTTAGACCTCCGAGGCAGAAATCTTGGTTTATTGGGGGAGAGGGGGCGGGGCGGGATGCTTATCCCAGCCTTTGTCTGGTCTGCAGACATCAGGAGCTAGGGCCCGGGGGTGAATGGGGATCTTCTGGGAAGCTTCCAGGGAAGCTTCGCTGGAGAGAATTTGGCACGGACTTTGCAACCCTGAGAACGGGAAGCTGAGCGGTTCTGGGGTTAGTCAGTGGCCCGGAGGAAGAGGACCTGTGGAAGACCACGTATGCACTGTGGAGTCTGGCAGAGTCCAAAGGGAGAGGCAGCTGGGCAGACAGAGGCCCTTGTTCCTCCTGATCACCACCCCCTAGATGTTGCCCGGGAACTGAGGCCAGGGGGTTGATGGGGGCGGAAGGAGGCCAGGCCTGCGTGGTGATTCAAACCTACCCCAGCATTCAGGAACGTAGGTAGGCCAGCTGCCCAGAGCGGCCACGAGCCCAGGGAGGGATGAGGGTGAAGGCAAAGCTCTATCAGTCCTAGCTCAGGTTCACAGTTCATCTTAGGAACAGAATTTGGGGATATACTCAGTACCCCCCATTCTCCCTAGGGCCCCTGGCTACCTCTCTGCCTGCAGACTCACCCTTGTCTCAGCTCTGTACCCTTTCCACAAAGTCCCCTTCTCCAACTCCTTGTGTCTTCCTTAAGAGCTCCCCAAAGCCCCCACCCTTGGATATAGGAACCAGCCTGGAAAAATTCCTGGTTGGGCTTTGGCCCAGCTGTTCCCAGGCTCCCCTGGGAACAAGAGGGGGCTCTGATACCTGTGGGAAGAGAGGGACCAACCAGTCCCAACCTTCACCCAGATCTGCTGGGCCTCTGAGATTGGGAGCCCAGCAGTCTCCCTGTTGGCCCGAAAAGGTTACACCACCACCTTCACCCCTCTGCACACAGTACTGGGGCTTGGTGGGATCCCAAGTTACCTCTTGGGTACCCCGATTTCCAATGGAGCAATGTTACAGGGCTCCTGCTCACCCCGTCCCATCATGTCCATCATCTCTGTCCTGGGCGCACCTCCTGGATGGCTCTCTCACGGCAGGGACTTTACTGTTAGTCAATGTTTGCTGACCCAGAGCCCTCCCAGGGGTTTCCTCATCTGGTCCATGACCATGCTGCTGAGGCACAGGAAAGGAAAGACATCAAATGTCTCACTTGCCTGCCTCTAACATCCCAAGAACGCCTTGTCAAGGAGTCCCTGTCCCTCATTACGGTATAACAGAGGCTCTGGACCCCGAGGACTCCCAGTAGCCTGCTCTTCCATCCCACTCATCACCACCTTCTACAGCAGGGGTTCTCAACCCGTGGGTCATGATCCCTTTGGGTTACATGTCAGATATCCTTCACATCAGATATTTACATTACAATTCATAACAGTAGCAAAATTGCAGTAATGAAGTAGCAATGAAATAGTTTTATGGTTGGGGATCACCACACCATGAGGAACTGTATTAAAGGGTTCTGCATTAGGAAGGTTGAGAACCATAGTTCTACTGTCTTGGGATGGCCATGGGCTTACAGAACAAGGACTCATTAAAGGATCCTGAGGTCTAGAGGAAGATGAAGAGACTTTGGGGAAAGTTAACTGTCTGTCTCTCCACGACTCCAGCCTCCTGTCCCGAGCCAGGTATATATAACAAGGTGGGATAGACACCCCCATATAAGGCTCCCCCAGGGTCTTGTGCTCAGGAGCCAGGGCAGTGATGGTACAGACTGCCCTTTCCAAAGCACTAAGCCTGAAGGGTTTTAAGTAACCCGTATCAGGGTAGGGGTGGGCCGCTCACCTCCACCCTGCATTTTAGAGACACAACGTGAAGCTGAGTCGGAGGAAGGGTCACTTCTGGATTCCATCAGCTGCACATTATCACCAGCTTTCACAATGATGCACTCTGTACCCTGATATGGACCTAGAAAATGTTAGGTCCATACTGTCACCAGATGAAAGCTGGATGTCTAGAAAGCAGGGGGAAGAAGCAGGTCATGTGCTGTGTCCCACCGCTCCTGCTCATCCTGGGGGCTCATTTCCCAGAACACACTTCCCGCCATTCATCTTCCCTCCCCAGGTCCCCAGGTCATCCTCTGCAGGACGAGGGACATCAGAGTGTAATGGGCCTGACAGAAATGAAAGCACTCTAAAGGGATACTTGTGTGTCCCAACCTATTAGACTATTTAAACAATGGACCCCAAAAAGTGGGGATTTCCCCCTCCAATCTCATGCTGGCCAATGCGAATCAAACCAACCAGGATGAATCTTTTCCTGGCATCAGGGAACCAGAGCGAACAATCCACTAGGTGACTAGTCAGTGACATCTTCAGAGAATATCGCTCAGAGACAGGGAGGAAATTGTCAGAACAGAAATGAAGTCAGGTTGGGCAGTACTTGCCTGTATCCAAACACTTGAGAGGATCAGAAAGTAAGGACAGTCGAGGCTTCATGAAGAGACCCCGTCTCAGACCAATGGGATGGGGTTGCTCATGTCCGTCCTTCCAAAAGTAACTAAAGGCCAGAAGGTTATGAAAAATGGATCTTAGCATGGCCTCTGGCGCCGGCTGCATCAGTTCCTACTTACATTCTGTTTATTGTGTTTATTTCATGAGGTGGGTACATTCCACCTCAGGGTTGAAATGTTAAAACAAAAGCGGGGATTTTAACTAGCCTGACAGAAGATCAGTCTGGCTATCGGACTACTGAAACAATGGACCTTCATGAAATGGGAATCTCCCCACATGTCATGCTAGGAGAAGCAAAGCGCTCTAGTGAGAGGGGAACTTGTCTCCCGGAATGAGACTTCACACGTTTCTAACAGCTTGTCAGGCTAACCCCAAGAATGCTCACTGGTGGGCGGGACCCCACCTTGGCCAGGACTGCTTGGATGTGCACATCTTTGGTCCTCGAAACTTTAATCACACTTCAGGCCCTCAAGACAGACTCGTGGGGGAGTCACTGGATCTTTGCCCCTCTTCCCAGTGTGTGGCCATGGTGGCTAAGTCCTTTATCTGCTTCTGCGTCTAATCTGACTCTTTTAATTGGCTTATTGAGAATGGGTCGTCAGCTCTGACTTGGGGCACAGGTTGTGACATACACACACCCAAATTTGAAAAGATGAGCAGAGTCCTCAGAGGACCACCCCCATATGCTCTGAGAAGACACAAAGACACAAATTGGGGGTACAGTGGAGCCAAGAGTAGCCCAGACAGAATTATGGGAGGTCCCAGCTGAGGGGAGGATGGCATGACCAGCCACATTATAGCTCTGCACTTGGCACCTAAGGCCGCAGAAGAGAGACGAGGCAGGGGTGGAGAAGCCTGGGACTGACAGCCGGCAGCCTGCAGTGGCCTCGACAAAGGAAGCCGTGGTGGGACCCAGCGGCACAGTGGCTGTACTCTGCCCTGACCTGTCACCTTCAATACCAGGGAAGTTTGGGGTTGTGCGGGTGTGGCCAGGTGATCTGGAAGCCTGTGGGTAAGTGGATGGTGCCACTCCCGGGGAGGGGAGCTGGCCGGCCAGACTGCAGTCTGCGTATTTTCTAGAAGAATTTTCACTGTGATAGAAGAAAGTCCTTCTTTCCTTCTTTCTTCTTCCCCTTGGGTGCCAGCAGGACCCAGGTCTACGGGCATAGGAAGCTTAACTCTGGAGAGAAGTGAGATGCTTCACCTAGTCCCCGCATCTTGCCTTAGGATCAGTCTCTCCTGCCCCTCCCCTCCCCCCCCCCCCTCCCCTCCCCTTTCCCTCTCCTCTCCTTTGCTACCCTCTCCTCCTCTTCCCTCCTCTCCCCTTCCCTCCCTTCTCTCCTCTCCTCCCTCCCCCTCCCTCTCTTCTCTCCTCCCCTCCCTCTCTTCTCCCCTCCCCTCTCCTCCCCTCCTGTCTCCTCTCCTCTCATTTCTCCTCTTTCTCCAAGTCTTTTCACCAAAGCGATAGAAAGGCAGAGAGAGGTTGACAGAAGGGCTCCTGCCCAGGGCCCGTATCCAAGTCTGCTGTGTGTCTGCAAGTTTGGACTGGGGGCATGAGAGGTAATTAATGGTGACTAGTTGGTAAAAGGGCTAGAGACACAACAGCCAGAGAGGTTAACCCCTCACCGAGAGGGCCGAGTCCAGAAAGCGGGTGGAAAGGGAAATCAGTCCTCAGAAGA